ACACACACACACACACACACACACACACACACACACACACACACACACACACACACACACACACACACACAAAACTGTCCAGCTATACATATGCGGACATTCCATTGACTTCCATTAATTTCTACAGCTTAACCGTGACCTCCTACCCTAATGTCACAGGCACGTATCTGACCTTAACCTCAACTCAATTTACACCTTGGTCCTAAACCTAACCCCCATCCAATCATAGGCATTTAAACCAAACAGGAAGTTGGCTTAGGTCCCCATATGTACCAGTTGTCCGCACATGTAGGTGTTTTGTCTAAAGATGATCCTCATATGTGAGGAAATACCCCCGTGTATTATATGRCTGTATTTTAGACAGTGGCAAATTAGGGGTAGGGTGAGAAACTGTTTAAAAAAGACAGTTTTTACAATGCTATCAACTGTTTTCAGTCTCTGAGGATGCATCCCTGCCCAACATATAATATGGGCACCAGATGGTATTGGTCCATCAAATTTTGGTTCTGGGCTCTTCATCTAAAGGTGATGTTACATAAATATAKCAACACAATATCAACATAATCCCAAAAGTAAAACAGAGAATTTAATACATGGTCATATTTGTATAATTTAAAGAATGTAACAACAATCAGTATAAATTGTAACAGTTCTGATGTTCACAGTAACAATAACCTCAATTGTTGCATTTAAACGTACAGATTTTTAACTTTATTAAATGTTTTTTGTATCTTAATCAACATTCACTTAATTTGTCTGGTAGTTCATTCTAAGACAAACTGYTACATCTGTGAAATATTAAACAATTCTTCCTTCAGTCATTTTTCCTTAAATGTCACAAAAAATAAATTCAATTGAATTTAATAAACGTATGCCAGATCCCCCGTTTTATTTCAGAACCCATTTTATTGTCACAAACACTGATTTTGAACAAAATAAGTTTCAAATCCATCACAGAAAATAAGAGCCGTGGTATAAAGATGAGGAAAAATGACTGTAAATTAGAAAAGTCTTGACAAGTGAAGTGCATGCTGAATAATTCAGACTCTAACCTTATTCTGAGCGCCAGCAGAGACAACGAGACTAATCAAGCCACAGAGTCAGTGCCTCAGGTGCAGAGAGGAAAGGCTCTTACCAGTAACGGGCCCCAGCACACGCAGGACACCAGCATGATGGCCAGCAGCTGGCAGATCATCTCCACATGGTAGGAGGTGCCTCTGCAGCGCTGCTTGCTGCGCAGCCTCCCCAGCAGCAGAGCGCCGCTCGCAAGCGTGTTGCACACGATGGAGAGCAGCAGCGCCATGAGCCCCAGRACTGAGAAGACCAGTGGCAGCAGCACATCCAGCCAGTCTTTGGGCTGCTCCATGTGAAAGAAACACCAGCTCCTGGAGCTRTGGACCTCGTAGGGCCTCTGCAGCAGCACGGGCAGCAGAGCAACCAGGGCAGCCAGCAGCCAGGTGAGCCCCAGCAGCCTCCGGATGAGGCGGGAGGACAGCACCGTGGAGTGGAAGATGGGCTTGGTGACGCCGATGAAGCGCTCCACGGCCATGGCGCTCGACAGGAACAAGGGGCTCAGGCCGTAGAACACCATGCACGCCCCGAAGATGCTGCACACGACGCCGTGAGGGTCAAAGGTCTCCCACTTCCTCTGGAAGTGGTAGACGTAAAGTACCAGGGAGCCGTTGACGAGGTGACCCAGCAGYTCAGTGACCACCAAGCTGCTGGCAAACAGCAGGAAGAAGGCCCGGGACTTGATTCGAAGGCGCCGGTAGGATTTGAGCAGGATYAAGAGGGCAGCACCGTTGGAGCAGATGCCCACAGTCATGGAGATAACCGAAGCTGTGACGGACAGCTCCTTGTGGCAGCAGGTGCTGTTGACCTCTGACCTGAAGCGTGTCTCCGAGCTCCCATTGGCTGACATGGCTGACTTCAATCTGAGAGGAAGAGATTTACAAAACTTTCATCTGAACCAAAGCATTAAAAGAGGAAAATGAGCCTGATGATGAGCTGAATGGTGCTAATATTTACTGAAGAACCTATAACTGAGAAGTTAAAGCAGAACAGCAGCTAAATGCTAAAAGAAACAAAACACACAAATTCCCTTTTTGATAAATGAAGCTAAAAGCCAAAATTAGCAATAGGCTGTTTCAAAACACTAGCTAGAAACTAAAATATTAAAGAAGTAGCAATGTAACACAAAGGGCAGCTAAAAATACCAAAGGGCTTACTACAAAGTGAAATAAGCAAAAGGCTAAGCTAATGGCTATATATGTCAATAGGTTATTTAAAGCTAAAAGTAGCTAAAAAAGACCAAATAAATACAACATATTTGAACTAAATGAATAGATTCCTCCTAATCTGAAGATATTTGTAAATATTTTTAAATAGTTAAACAACTTAAGAGAAAACCCATATTTCATAGCACCTCAATGAGCTAAAAATTTTGATACATAAATGCCCAAAATGTCGTTAAAGCATGCTGTTAGACTGAAAACTAAAAAGAATCAGGAGGAATCTGCATACCCAGAATTATAAAAAAGCATAAGGTGTTGTTACATTAATATAACAACACAATATCATCCTTGCTCCCAAAAATACAAATGAAAACTTACTTATGTTAGGCCTATAAAATAACAACCAACAATAATCATTCAAACAAATGTTTCACTTTAAAACTATTAATATCAGCAAATGTCAGCTGCTTTATCAGCAAAATTGGAGCAGTTTTGATTAATATAGTTGAGCAACATTTCTTTAAAATAACAGCCTGAACTTGTTTTTGTTAAATACTTAAAAACCATTAAACAAAATAAAGTGGATTTTTTTTTTTTTACCTCTAATGTGTCTGTCCTCTGGAAGCAGCTTCCGTCTTCAGACAGTGAGCAGAATGAACCATCACCTCCACTCCTCTGCCTGAGCACAGAGCGCGCTCACAGCTTGCCATACTCACGGAGCGCATGCACAGTGCGCGTGCACAGAGCACACAAACGCGCTGCGCAGGAGAGGAGAGGGAGTCTGTCCAAGACAGTGCAGCCTAAATGTACCAATGAAACCTGTAATCATCCAAACAACTTCCCAACCAAATGTTGGATTCTAAAACAAATCTGAACAGGAGATGATCAGAGCGCTGACTCCAATAATATTTCATTATAATTATTGAGCACATGTTCAGGGCCATAATGTCCATAATTCATGATTTTTTTTTCATCAGTGTTTTTAAACCTACAGACGTTTGGCTTTGGTAAGGGAAGATTGTGACTTTCAAACATCATTTAAACATCTACACATCTCCAACCAGATCCAAGATGGCTGCCACAACTAACAAACACAGGACTACAGTTTGACAGATATCTAGCTAAAACTTGGTGCAGTAGTTAGCTGNCAGTTTTTACTGCACAAACCTGCACAAACGGAGCACTAACGACCTAGCCCACTTTGGTTTGTTTTTGGAGCGATATGGGGTGATGGTGAACTCTAGATGACCAAAAAATATAATATTTAATATCTCGGAAACCAAAACTGCACAAACGACACTTAACGGCACAAACCTGCACAAACGGAGCACTAACGATTCTGACTATTTGATGGCTTTTTTGACGTGGGTGGGATGTCAGCTTCACACAGCTCCAACCAGATCCAAGATGGCTGCCACAACTAACAAACACAGGACTACAGTTTGACAGATATGTAGCTAAAACTTGGTGCAGTAGTTAGCTGTGAGTCATAAACCCCAACACATGATTTGTTTCAATCTTTGTTCTTCAAAAGAACAGAAGTTTAATTAATCTATTTGAATGTTTGTTTTCTGACCTAAAGAAATACTTCTCTATCATTCTTATCAACATTGTGCTGTCTCAGTCATGATTTGTGACTTGGATGAGTTTGGATTTTTTTTAAATTAATTTGTTGTTAATATTTTTTGGACTTTTTGGTTATTTTACGTAATTTTATTTTGTTATCTCCTAGTTGACGAAATAATATCTGTATACTATGTATTTCACTCCTGTTTTGTATTTTATACCTGCTGGTTGTACTCATGGTTGTATTCAGCCTCAGTCCCTGGGTGGTYTCCAGCATTAGGCCAGTCTCCCAGTAGACTCCCAGTTAAAATCTCTCCTATAGACTTMGCATGTAAACTGGCTGCTTTGGCTGCTCAAAATGCATCCAGGATCACTTGATTTTGGAAATGTTTCAATCGGGTTTTAGATCTCATCACATCACTGAGTCTGCTATATTGAATGATTTAATTACGGTATATCTTTTCAGGCTTCATTTCGTGATTCTGAGCTTATTGTCGTCAGCTTTTGACACCATTAACCATGAGAWGCTTAATTTTAGGCTGGAGCAGTAGGTATCATTGAGTCAGTCCTCAAATTCTTCAGGTCCTAACTCCCTGACATAAGTTTTTGTATGAACATAAACAACTTTTTGCCCTCATCAGTGACTCTTTGGTGAGGGGTACCACAAGMCTCCATTGTTGGACCCTTTCCTTTTTTTCTATACCTGCTGTCACTAGATGCTAATTTTTGCAAACATGGAAACCCTTTCCTTTTTATTATGTCAATAATTGTCAAGTTGATTTTCCTCTGGAGCATAATGGTGCATGCCCTATCTAACTTCTCCTTGACTGCCTGGCCAACATCAACCTTTCTTCTCTGTCTCCGTTTAAGAAACAGACTGTCACAAATCTGAGTAAAAATGGATCCTCACGTGAAATTAAACATGCAAACTCAGTTGTTAAATCCTGCTTTTTWAAGCTGAGGCAGCAGTCCAAATTGAAGCCCATTCTGAGACAGTAATACAGTACGTGCTTACATAACATCCAGGCTTGATTACTGCAGTAAGCTTCTTTATGGAATCAGACTGCTGGTGCTCGTTAACTCATTCAAAATGCTGCAGCCCGAAGAGGGAACATCTATCAAGTTCTAGCTTCCCTTCACCGGCTTCTATCACTTCCTAATTCACTTTAAGATCCTTTTGTATGATTTTAAATGTCTCAACAGTTCTGCCATGATCTCTGATCTGCATCCATATGTCCCAAAGCYCTCTTTCAGGTCAGCAGATTGTGGTTCAACTCAGAGGTGATGGCTCCTTTTCTGGTGCAAGTCCAAAACTTCATGTCAGGCAGTCTCCATCTCTCTCTGGTTTTTAGTTTTGTTTAAAAATGCAGTGTTATTCCCTGGCCTTTGACTCCTAACTGTTTATGTTTTCTAATTTTGTTTATATTTTCTAATTTTCTACATATCTTGTGTCCTGTTTAATTGAACAACACTTTGGTTGGTGTTTTGCTGTTTTAGGGGCTTTAGGAATAAAAATAGAATTGTACAGCTACCTTTGAGCACTGTCCTTGTTTTTTTCCATCAGGTCCTCGTCTGACTTGGTTCCTTGCATCCTGGATTTTTTTTTTTTTTTGCTCTTATCCAGACAAGTTGCTCTTCACCTGCTGCTTCCTGCCTGTTTACCTCTTTTACCACCTTCTTGACTGTAAAAGAGCTCGGTCTGAAGAGCATTAACAGGGAGTTTTGATGCAATAGAAGAAAGTTTGCAAGCTAATGCGTGTGATCACGTGACCCTGCCTTTTTATTGTATGTGCTTCGCACCTTCGTATGGAAAGGTAGGACTGTAGTGTCGCACATTACACCTATTTTCTTCTTTTCTTCTCTGCTGCATCACTGAATCAAAGTCTGGGTGTTGATTAGATCCTGACATCAGCTCAGCAGCTGGAAWACCTACTTGAAGCTCTTACTTGTGAAATGACACTGTCATCTTCGTCATGTAACCTCCGTGCTGCAGACCGGCTTAAAAGCAAAAGTTGCACTTCATCCAAACATATCAGGAAAAAAAAGGAAATATTCTTCATGATGGCCACATTGTGCTCGCCATTAGGAAACTGCTTATAAAAATGTGGCAATTTTCTTAAGTAAAGTGCATCCTGCTCTCAGTCAATCTTTTCATCAAACCTTCAAAGTGATTTTACTGCACTTCACTCCTCTCTGGATGCTTGATCAGACTTTTAAATGGAGTTTCTTCCAATGAAACTTYGAATGAGTTTATGATTGGTTTCACTTTCTGAAAATGTCCAATTAAAAGTTCACATCAAATGGCTTTAATGCTTTAATGCTCAAAAAATGAAAAATAATTCTAATTCGGAAAAGGTCATTTTCTTCCATGATTTCTTATTTTACTCAAGTTATCWTTTGTTCTTTTTTAAATAACTGCTTAATGAAGAGTGGCGTAAGCAAAGTCCTGATGAGTTTAGAAGTCACTCATCTGGAAAGATTTTCAAAGTGTGCATATTTTCTCTGTGCATTTAACATAAACTTTGTGTTTGTACAAAATCARATGGGTGTATTCATTTGCAGTAATGCTAATCTGAGGAAAGAGTGATGAGCAACACTGTTTAAAAAAATAAAACGTCTGCCCATGAAAAATTTACCTTGATGGAAATTTAGTTATTTCATTTTTCTGTTTTTGAATTTTATATTAATAAAGCAACTGAAAGAAGCATGAAGTTAAAATAAAAATAAAATATACTTTTTATCATAAAATCACGATAGAGCTTTTTTCCTCTCTAAAATAAATCAGTCTGTCTTTGAGTGAAGCTTATGCCAAGATGATGTTGGCGGGGTTTTGCACATGCATTTTGTCATTTTTATAAATATTTGTTCATAAATATAAACTGAGATTGTAACAAATCAAAGGAGAAGGAAATGAGACATAAAAAAGTTAAGTTACTGAGGAAAATCATCTACTGTTCTTATGCGTCCTGCCTCAGATTTTCAAACATCATTTAAAGTTAAAATTATATATATTTTTACAATCCATCCATCCAGCCATCCAATTTCTTCTGCTTATCTGTGATCGGGTCACGGGGGCAGCACTTCCCTCTCCCCAGCCAATTGGGCCAGCTCCTCTGGGGGA